CTGGCCTCTGATCTCTGTCTCAAAACTTTTGAAGAATTTGATAAAATGTCAAAAGTATCTTATGCAAATGTTATTGGTTCTGTGATGTACTTGATGGTATGTACTAGACCTGATCTTGCTTTTAGTATTAGCATATTGAGTAGGTTTATGAGTAACCTTATGGAAGAATACTAGAATGCCTTAAAATGGCTCTTGAGATACTTAAAGGGTACTGCAAACTTGAGTCTTGTGTTTAAAATGAATAAAGAAGGGGTAACTTTAAAGGGATTTACTGATTTTGACTTTACTGCAAATAAAGATAATAGAAAATCAACTTCATCTTATTTCTTTACCTTATGTGGTACAGTAGTCAATTGAAAATCACAATTACAAAAGATTGTAGCTTTATCCTCAACTGAAACAAAATATATTGCTGCTTCTGATGCTTTTAAAGAATGAATACAACTAAGTGGATTACTTAAGGAACTTGGATTTGTTGATGAAAATGTAACGTTATATTCTGATAATCAAAGTGCTATACATCTTAGTAAAAACCCCATGTACCATGATAGGACTAAACACATAGACATTAAATATCATTTTATTAAAGACATTATTTCAAAAGGTATTTTGAAAATTGGTAAAGTACCTACACAATATAACACATCTAATATGGGGACAAAGATAATACCTTTGAACAAATTTAAAAACTGTTTGAAGACATTATCTATTAATTCTATGTGAAAATTGCAGGTACTTAGAGCAAATGAAAGAAGAAAGTGATATTGTCTCCTGGTTGCACTGAACTTAAAAATATGGTAGCAAGGTGGAGATTGTTGTGGTTCGAACCATAGTATTGTTGTTCCCATATTTTCAGCTTATTAAAACGTGTTATGAAAATGCGACTTTATAAGTGGCATTCTGCCTGATGATGACACCTGGCTATATTCCTACCGTTGGATGAAGGGTTACATTTTTCTGGTGATATATAAGGGACTTGATGCTTCGTTTGGCAGTGTGACTGCTCATTTTGTTTGACTTTTCAAGTGAGGTTCGAGAGAGTTCTTCTATTCTCTCGAGTTAGGGTTTTATGTTTCCCTATTTTCTTGTAATCAATCATTTCATTCGATGTGTAATTTGAAGGTTGTTAACCACTGAATACTTGTATATTCTTAAGTGATACTTAGAGTCCTCATGTGTTGAGGTTAGGGATTTGGTCTGTTGATTCGTTGTGGGTCTGAGGCAGATCTGTGGTTCCCTTGAAGAGATAAGTTTCTTTTCTGTGTATTTTTGTAATGGTTGAACTTTGTAACCTTTGATGCCTATTTTTGGAGCTTTAGTGTAATCGAGCAATATCCATTTTTGATTGGATGCTCAACAGGGGATTAGGTGCTTAGTCACTGAACCTCTGGGATTTCGACCGAAAAATCTTTTCGTGTTCTTTATTTTCTGCAAGTTTAATTTCTGTTATTCTGATCGATTGAATGTTACAACTTATTATGTGGGTTTTTGGCCCCTTTTCACCCATAGGTCTTCGTGAGGCGAGTGGAGTGGATTAGGTCAAAAGCAAGCTTCTTGGAGAAGGCGGAAGCAGGGGAGGCAACGATCTCTTCAATGGCGGACTTGGTGATGACGGAGATGTCACGTCCGGCGGTGGATTGCTGGAGTGCTTGGATGAGGGCTCCGGACTGACGAAGGGCATCGTTGGATCTAGGCGAATAGTATATCCATTTTTTGCACTTATTTATACTCGAATGGAAAGATAAACATACATATATAGATGATAGTGTGTGAATTGGCTCATCAAATGGAAGTATTTTCTATTCTCCGACGATGGCGACTTTATGATTGCGTGGCGCGTTGTTGGACATTTCTAGCAGAGGCAGGGAAGACACATGAGGTGGCCTCACGTGAATTTTTTTTGAGGTGGGCCTAATTCATGTGTATATTCTGTAAAATGTTTGTAAGCTCGTTTGGTACCCATTTTTTTTCAAAATGTATTTTTCTCTCTCTTCTTTTTAACCACACATTCTTTATTAAAATAATATTACACGTAAATAAAAAACTTTTCCTTATTTTTCAACCATACATTTTCCATCAATTTACTAATTAAAAATACATTTTTATATAAAAATATCTACCAAACACCCTCTGTATATTTTTTCATCGTAAGTGTAGCACCATTGGTTTTCTTTTCATTCATTTGAATGTCTTGTTTTATGAAATGGAAGTCAATGGTACTACAAAATTGAAATGTTGGACACGATTGAATAAGTTAAGGTCCAACTTGTAACAATACTAATAGGATGGCGACCAATAGTGTAGTTTTCCCTTGTAATTAAATGACATAATCGGTATTTCCTGCACTCAGCCAAACGCGCTCTTAAATTGGCATTTGGCTTTTTCTTTTGCTTTCCAGAATCAATCGATCGATCCGATTCAGAGAAAACGCCAACGCAGAGCAGAAGGCGATGGGAGATTACCACTTCGTGTATAAGGATGTGGAAGGAGCCTCAACGCAGTGGGACGACATTCAGAGAAAATTAGGGAACCTCCCGCCGAAGCCGGCGCCGTTCAAGCCACCGGTTTTCACCGTTGCCGATGACGAGGATTCCATAGCTAAAGACAAGGCATGGA